ACCCATAATTGGGTCCCAAGCCCAACTTTGGGAACCAAAGTGCAGTGGTTCCCAAACTTTTCAGCTTTTGACCCACAAAATAACAGTAGCAGAGACCTGTGCTCCCAACTACTTTTGGATGATAAACATTTGTATCAGGTCAACCAATCATGGGCATAGTAACAACATAACCATTTTAAGTATACTAACCTCACTCCTTTGTAACAACTAGGGCAAAAATGTAATTAATTCTGAAAATCTTTTCAGGACCCCACCTTGATGTTTCGGGACCCCACTTTGGGTCCCGACCCCAACTTTGGGAAACACTGCTCTAGAGGTGTGCCCGTTTCAAGGGCTGTAAAGTAAACTTGTTTTTAGCAGCTGCCATCTTTGGTCACATTTGCATAGCTGTATTTTTAAAATGTTCACGTAGAACCTGTTTGTTTAATTGCAGTTTGTGTGCGCTCACACAACTTGACCTACATTGCAAACTGGTTTGATTCCAAGAAAATGGAAGCACTTGGATGGTAATTTGGTGGCATTGATTCAGGAGCGTTCACCCACCTTCCCAGCAGCTCAGGGGAGCAGCGGTTTGAATTTTTTGGGTTGCGTTTTTGTTTGCCTTCCTTAACGTTAGGACTGTTGCAAATTTGTTGTTTTATGGAAATCGTCTCAACAAGGTTTCCAAAGTAAACCACGCGGCCTGGTGAAGTTACAACAGCTGTCAGAAGTCTGAAATGTTTGCGATGGGCATCAGTTTGTGACTCGCAGGTTTGTGTGAGAATCTGTCATCGTTTAAAAATAATTGAAATGCTCTCATGAACATTCAAAGAATATGCTGTTTCTGAAATATGATGCTGGAAAGTTTGCTGCAGACTCGTTTTGGAAATCAATCTTTCATTGCCAACGCTCAAGAGGCCGTTTCAGCTGTAATGAATGAAGCACTGCAGAGGCTGACCCAGATAGATGGTCATGGACCACACTCAATGCTGGGCTGAATTTTAACAAATAAAAGCATTTATCCACATCTCTGCATTGACTGTCTGCTTAACCTGAAAACACTTCCTGCAACTGTTCACTGCTCCCAACAATCACATCCATAATGATTTGTCAGTTTCTTGCAGTCATACAAATTGCAGCGCAGACTTTGATTATCTCCCTGACTGAAACTGTTACACACACACACACGCGCNCACACACACACACACACACACACACACCATATAAACAAGTCAAACCAGCTCCGAGGCTCATCAAACTCAAAACACACATAAAAAATGTGAATAATAAAAAGTTGCACACAAGTCGAGCAAGTTTTTTTTTTCCTGAACACACAAGCTTTTCTGAAACACCCAGCGTTTGCCGGGCTCAGGGGGATAAACAAATGTCAGTGGACACACGGTGTAAAAAACGCTAATATAATAAAAAGCTATTGGCTCAAAACATTTGGGTGTCCAGCTAACGTAAACCATGCATGACAGAGATAAAAGTAAGTTTAGATTAACTGGAAAAAGTATGACTCAGCTGCAAAAAATCATTTTTAGCTGTTTCTTTTTCATTTACCTGTCATGAGAACAAAACTGCTCTAAAAACAATCTGAAAGAATATTAAATATTTTTAATTTGTTTAAATATAGAAACCCTTCAGATTGATTAGTTTATGTCATTTTTCTTGCACATTTGCTGACAGGAAAGTCATGTTGTGGCTGTAAAGCTACTTACACACATTAACTACAGTAAAACCTATGAGAACTGTTACATTTATGATGATTTATCCTTGTTTTCTCTGCTTTAACCCTCCTCATACCTCATTAAGTGTTTTTATGTGAGAGTAAATGCACCCATGGGAGTACAGCATGTGTTGGTGTGTGTGTGTGTGTATGTGTGTGTGAAGCATATATATGTAAATCAGACTTGCAGTGTTTGCTTACCTCCAGGCTTTGTGCTCTTCCCCACTCCAGTGATTTTATTTTCCCATTGCTTTTAAATCCACAACATTTTTGAGACGTCCCTGTCAGCAGCCTTTCCTTCACTTCCTGCTGAGGTATAAATTCTAGATTTGTGTAGCTCACTCTTGTCTTGCTCTTCCTCTTTGTTTTTCACTCATGTACGAACACCGTCTCTCAGCCCTCAGTCACACTTTGAAGCAGCTGAGCCTGTCAGGATTAATATAACCAAGCCTTGATGACATCACAGCAGAGGGCAACCTATCAGAAGGTGGAGCAGCTTTTAGTCTATACAGCTCATGCTTACAGCTGGACAACACTCAGTACTTTCTGGGCTTTTGGGATGTATAGTTTTTTATTTTTTTTTAACCTTGTTCAAAGCAGCTGCCATATTCAGTCACATGAGGCTGCAGACAATCAAACCACAAACTTCTGCTTTTGGCTGCTGAACTTTTACATCTGCAGCATCAGACACACAACTTCAACACTCCATTTCATATCCACTTAAAGTGAAACCTGCTTTATCCAARTTGATTTAGCTGTCTTTTTTATTGGGTTTGCATTTAAAATTAACAGGTTCAAGTTTAATGTGTAGGTTTTGTTCACATTATCACTTTTATTTCAGGTAAAATAGCTTAAAGCAATAATCCTGATTTCTTTAAGCGATTCTGCAAGGTTGGAAACAATATCTTACCTGTTGCAGGTAGCATTTTGAACAGCCTCAGTTTGAGGAAATGATGTTTAATTTTGAATAATACAACTCCAATTTCAAAATTTCACAGCAGTTCATGCAAGTCCTTTTTTTGCATTACACAGTTCTGTATACAACTTTTTATTAGCATTTGTAGCAGTAGCAACACTTAACACTTCCTGTACAACAGTGGCACTTCCTGCAGAAATATTAACCTTGTAAAAAGGTTTAACAAATAGTTTAGATGAAGTGCTGTTACATTTTTAAAATTTGTTTTTTGGTCTACTTTAGTCTCTACTCGGACTCATCAATCTGGTAAGRATTTTCTCCAAAAATAAACTGAAAAACAACATGTAACATGTTGAATGTTCATGACTTTTCCACAAAACTCTACTGCAAAATATCTGAAATATGGTTTCTTTTATTTTTCGTAAGGGAAATCTTAAACCATCTGACTAAACAGGAAACGCCAATAGAAAATCAAAGGTTTAAACTTGAGTTTTAAGTTTTAAAAACTATAAGTTAAGAATCCTGTACATTTGAGACACAATAAATGTTGTGCAACTTGGTGAAGTAGAGCAGCGATAAAAAATAAAGCAGCTTATTTGTGTTTACGAGCTGCGGCAGGTCTTACCCTGTAATCCTGAAAGCCTCACACAATGAGCTGATTATCAGTTAGCAGGTCTCAACCAAACGGACAGCTTTTATTTTGACTTTAGACACAGAAATATGTGATTTTAAACAAATAAAGAGATTTTTTTCCCATGATGCTTGTTTTTTTCAGAGACACCCACCAGTGAAAATGAGCCGAGTGTTTGGTCGATTTCATGAATTTGGACAACATTAAAAACCGTGTCCTGTTTTATTGGCAACAAAGTTATAATTAAGGTAATTGTGATCAGTTTTATTGTAAATAATCATTATTTTTATAGAGCCTTCCATAGAATTTTTTAGATCAGGCCTCAAAGTGGCACAAAGGTGCTCAATAAATCAATGCTTTCTTTTCTTTTCTTTTCTTTTAAACTCGATTTACTGAAGGACAAAAAAAGGTTGCAAGTTTCCTCTAGCCAGTTCCTTCTACGGTGACAGAGGATTGGTGGCGTTGCACCTTTGACCTTCCAATAAAACGGTCAGAAACTTCCCTCTTCTCTCTGGTTGACCTGAACTTCCTGGGGCCAGGAGCCTCCATTCTTCTGGACTCGGGGAGAAATCTGCTTTGATCACTGCGTTGTCTTCCTGCACACCCATAAAACATCTTATATTACAGGGGACAGAACGCATCCTCTGAAGAACAAGTTTCAGTTGAAGCCACACACACAGTCCCTGCTAGAATTCAGTCTCTGCTGCTCTGACTTCAAACTGTGCATAATAAATGATTTGATTGATTAAGTCTGTTCTACACATCATTTGATCACATAGTTGCTGCATTTTCTGTCTTTCAGGCGTCACTGGAGCATTGTTATTAAATTTCAGCTCTGATTCATTGGCTGACAGTAGCTGTTGCATGTGTGACCCTGCTGCTGATCTTTAGACCTTGGATGATCCATGGGGTGAGCGGTCCTTTGAGATTAGCAGAAAACATAAAGTAGTWTGCTGTAAAAAATTGACTTGAAGAACGGGTAAAATAAGTATTGAACACGTCACCATTTTTCTCAGTAAATATATTACTAGAGGTGCTAATGACATGAAATTTTCACCAGATGTCGGTAAC